TAAAGTAAATAAAAGTACGTGGTTATTTCATTCAAATTCAGTTATCAGAATATGTTCAGCTGTTATAATAAAAGCATTGACATAACCAGAAATATATAAATAAATAAATAAAATCCACAAAAGGTTGCCAAGCAGCAGTTTAATTACACTTGTTTAAGAAATCAACACGGGCACTTTAAACTTGGCCATGAATAAACCTGTCAGAAGAAGCTAATTAAATCAATCCTCATCATTATTGATCGTCAGCCGTCAGTCTGACGCGTTTCCAGTGCTTTCTGCTGTTTAATGAATGAGCGTCTGCTGTTGTGGGATCAGTCTGAGTGTGTTTGAGCGTCTGCTGCTCCGTCATTTCCACAATCGTCATCAATAATGACGCAGATTCCCACTGATGTAGGTCACACACATGCAGAGACACGTGCAGCATCAATACACTGCTCTCTGCTGCTCAGACCTGCCGGGAAATAATCTGCACGACTGCTGCCGTCTGTTGGTGTGATAACACTCAGCTCTGGAATACAGATGAGTGTAAGAAGTCGTCTGTCGTGTTTATACAGAAATAAAGGCTGACGGGGAATCACCTCTGCCGCTGATCGTGTACTTCGAGTGCCTCATTTTGATGGACTCTCTCTTTGTATTTTGCTGATGGTGTTTAATTGGATGATTGATGTAGTTTATTTTGTAGTTCTCATTATTTATTTTCGGTACTTCTGTGTTTAAAGTTATTGTTAATTTAATTACATTTGTACCTCTTGTTTGGGGTCACAATTCGATATGCGTACATAACAGGGATAATAGAGGAGACTCACTCACAGACTGACTGATGTGCACACAGGATGAGATGGTATCTTATATTTCCATTGTTTGACGGATGTGTGTGACCATTAAACACTTGCATCTCTTGCACCACCCTGTGTTTTTAGACGCCGTGTGAAGATAACACAATTTCAACTTCTGCCCACAGCAGTGCTCATTACTGTCAGTTCCCGAGCAGTGGACTCAGAGCCTCTGTTTTAAGAAGCAAATCTGCATTGACCCGGCAGCTTGAAGGAACCGCTCC